AATCTTTTTTCTTGCTGAAAGTTCTGTGATATGATTTTCACTGTCTATTAAAATATTTTAAAATTTATTTTGATGCATTTAGAGCACCTACACTGAACTTATTTCTCAAATGCTGAACTGTTGCTGTTAACACAAGAAAAGATCCTACTTCCATGTCTCCTACATGCAGTGCAGCTTCTTGTTATTTGAAATTGTAAAGTTGCTAGAAAGCCATCTCGAAAAATTGTAAAACACATCTAACTGATTATATTAAATGAAAACTGATACAGTTATTCAAACTCATCGTTCTTTATGCCACTGAGAAAATTAGATTTGTGAGATAATTCCAAGTTCCTAAAAAGGAAAAATATGGTTTGACTCTATTATTTTAGAACTGTTAAATTATGTCGGTAGTCTAATGTCACTGAAAAGAGATATGAATGATCAAGGATAATTTTTGCTCTTATACTTTAATTGCATCATAAGGATAAAATTCAAGTTTGAAAACGATTCTCTCTGTAACGATCACATCTTCCCATGTTTTGAAGGTTGCTCTGAAAATTTTACTTATATTCAGGAATCGTTAATTCGTAAAAAATAATAGCTACTAAGTCGATTCACTTTATAGGTGATATGGAAGAACGCTTATCACTGATTTCATTGGCATGTGAAAGTAACTTCTTTCTATATTGAAAAAAAAATATTGATATTTATTAACGAGATATAATAATAAAGGTAAATTGATTGCATTAGATAATATATCTCTTACCTACGAAAGGAAAAAAATTTCAACAAATGTAATATAGACATAAAATGCGGTAGTCTTAATGTATTCCTTTATTCCTTTAAAAACAGGAAAAGTTGAAGTATAATGGTACCAAGCATTTATACATTGTTTGTGGATAGTTACCCATAAGAAAACAAGAAGTGGTTCTTGTAAAAAGGAATGATGGAAGTAATAGTAACCTATATTCAACATCATAAATTTCAAGATCAGTGAACAGATTGAAGTTTAATTCGTAGGTCAACAACCTCATCTTATTGTGCAGCTCCACACAACATAATATTAGTGCTCAATTCACTGTGCAACAACCCACATTCGACTTCCTTCGATACAATGATATTATTGCTATTCTCGTTACCTATTCTTATGATAAGCTATGTTGAAGCCATCGGTGAAAATCCGGTAAGTCGATTTACAGTTTTTCAAAATTAAATGAGTTGAGAATTTGCCGAATAATTCTTGGAAATATATATTTTTTAACCACTTTTGAAGTGGTCATTTGAAGATCTGTCCCTTTTGGAAAACTGTCATTGAGTCACCACTAGCAAAATAGTTCAAAATATATAACAATTTGTTGACATATTTAAATGGAATAGATTACTGTTCATAACTTAAGTTTTTCATACTTCATACCATCAGTGATAACTAATTATTATCTATTTTTCTTTTAAAATCAACACTTTATTAATGCACTTAAATTTTTGTCTATTTTTTACATTCTGATAACAAACTATCAAGATCACTGCATTGTTAACCTGTAAAAGCAAACTTGGCTAGATATCAAAGGAAGTGAAGACCTTTCATCCTTACACTACCAATTCTGAAATAAATTAAGCTCTTTAGATGGATATTAATGCCTTAGCTGGCATCATTGGTGGTATCAGCAATATGATGCAAAATAATGTTGAAACTATTGATGTGCCATCTTCACAAATTATGGGTCGATGGTATCAGGTTGTCATCTTTATATTTGCATCAAAAAAGTAATGTCTCTATGTTTCTTTTTGATGTCATGCCTTTCCAGTTACAACAATTTGATTTCAAAAGTCAAGAATAATTAATTAATTAATTAGATTTCGTGTGTGTGTGTGTGTTTGTGCGTGTATACGTACGCATGTTTGTGTGTATGTGTATATGTGTGTATGAAAAAATTCTTGCGGAAATATTGTTATGCTATTGTAATTGTTCATTAACTGTATTAACTATCATTAACAATATTAAACATTGACGTATTATTTTGAATTCAAAACCGCTTTAAATTTCCTGTGTAATGTAGCAATTGTCTTATTCGTTTAGTTTTCAGGGATATCTATATTACAGGTGTACAAAGCAGCGATAAGTTTCGATGTGCACAGAACGGACATGTTTTGTCCAGTTGCATATTGTGAGTTTTTGGATTTATTAATTTAATGGCGATATGATAACAGACATCTCTACAACATTCTGTTTTCCAGCACTTCGATCTTAGCCATATGCAGTATAGTGAAACTTTTTAAATAAGACTCTTGCGTTTTGCTATACTTTAAATAAGTTTTTCAATTAATTAATTTCAGTTATTTTTCCAATCAAATATAAGATAGAGTTTTGTGCTCACTCAGTGCTATTTGTTATTTAGATTTAGCAGTTGAATAATATTTAAACTTGCAGTCAAGCCGAATTCGGTAATGGGTGAGGACGGGTTTTCGATCGAAGAAGCTTATCGAGTAATAACAAAAAATGGTCCAATTGAGACATACAAAAGAGATCTGAATAAAGTTGGTGCTGGGCAGTACTGGATGTATACTGAGGAATATTTTTATCCTCGACAATGTGAATAACGTTTATATCTAAATTAAAATTAAAAAGCTTCATATAATATTACACAATCAGACATCGATATTCCATTATTGAAATAATGTTATTAAAGCTTGCTGAGAATTTCAGTTAATATAATTAGCGTCGGGCCAAATTATACGAATACATCAGTTGTAGAAGAAAAGGAAAAAGTGTATCAATATATGGTTATAACTGATGCAAACAGGCTATCGTTAGGTGTATATGCTCGCCATCCAATGATGTTTTACCAAGTAACCTGATTACTTATTCATTCTTGCTTTATCATTTTGTATAAATTGAATCTTTAAATCTGGATGAAATAATCTTGTAATTCCAGAAATATAACGAAGAAGTCGTGAAATTTCTTGAGAATGCTGGATTCGGTGGGAAAGTTTTTTGGAATTCCCCGAGACCTATTTATCAAGGTGCCGATTGTGAGTGGCCATCGGAGAAAGAAGTGTTTGCACGACGGTACGTCTCAGCGATTAAAATGATACATTTTTAAAGAATAACTATTTGCAAACTCTTAATTACAATTCTGAAATTCACTTAAATATAACCAGGAATTTTATTGCATTTGTTTATCAGTGAGCTAACAAAAAAGAAACGTCAATTTCTTATCTGATGTTTAAATCTCTATCTCATGAAATAATTGGTAAAAAGCAATGCAGGTCAAACTTTTATCGTTTTTCGAATCCACAGTATTATTTAATTTATGACTTATGAACTATTCCTTTCTACTTGAGTGATTCAGGAAATAAAAAAAGTTGCAGGCCAAAAGCAACCAAGAGCTCTTTTTTTACATTTTCATTCCTTCCTGACTCTCTACTGTTCCACCTAATCCTCTGGTACATTCACAAAAATTCCGCAACATAGATTTTACTAGTACAAATTTGAAGTCGATGCTTTTCAAAATAGAGTTCAGTAAGTAACGGTCTAGAAAGATGCCCATTTCCACTAGCAGCTTGCTAATACAGTTTTAGTGTAAGGCATACTTAAGCACTTTAATTTCGGTGATGGATTTTTATGTTTAATGTATTGTTTACTTTACTGAAACGGAGAAACTATTCATCTAAAAACAATAACTATTTTGTGATATTATTAATAAATTAAAATAATAAAATATACCACAAACACAATAAGTCTTAGTTTAAAATGAATTTTATTTCTTTAACCTATTTTTAATATTTTTAAAAAATACATGCAAATAATTTTATCCATAAAATTACTTCCAATTTATGAAATTGCAGCTAGTTTTTAGCAGGATCATTTCCACTGTTACGAAATTTGCGCCAAAAAAGTACAGTTTTTTTTTTGAAAATTAAGTTCAAGGGTCAATTGTTTTATAGGGTCTTGAAAAATCAGAAAACAGCAAAAAACACCGAGTTGGAAACAGTGACTAAATCCGGATTATTCGATTCCTCGCTTGGAGCAGATGGCCGTAGCCCAATAAGGGAAGCACTTCAGAATCCGCAACTGGCACTACAGAAACTAGTGCAAGGGCACTGACCCTATTAGTGTTGACATACACATACATACATACACACACACGCCCACACACATATAAATTGCTATCACAGCTGAACCATTAAGCAAGCATTCTTGCGCCGTTCACCTCTGGCATATTTCGGCCTTTGGCGTATCTTTCTAGCTGTTTGGCACGTCTATTAGATCGACCCACATGCTGTCGGTCTTTTTATGTGTGGGTGTGTCCGTTAGTCCGTTCGTCTGTTTGTCTGTCTTCTGTATTTCTCTGTTATGTGGATTACGACTGAACTTATAATGGCAATGTATTATCCGTGTTCAATAAAGGTGTCACCGAGGGGCAATGGCCTAATGCGCTAGTTTGAAGTGATGCACAAATATGCGGCAACTACAGCTACCATCCAGCGTTTCCTTCTTTCCATTTATTTTCCGATTGGGGGTCACTTGCTGGGTCCCTTCATTCTTCCGGCATTTCGATTTTGTTTCCTCTCTGGGTCACTTACCACTTTTAGATCAAAAAATTTCAAAAAGATTTGCGACGATGTAGTTCTCAGTAATAGCTTACGCTGTCTTTCTTAGTTTCCAACATATCGTCAGGATCAGCTCTAATTTAGTGAACACAACTACTTTCACAAAGAATTCCAGACATCAAACATTTCCTTTAATCAAGGGTTAAACTGCTTGCGATTAACTTATTATATCCATTTGTGCAGCTTTAGGAAGCGGTATAATATTGTTGGTGTTTCGAATTGTTCTGTCTGATCAAATTGAAATAGTCGTTTCTTTTGAATTCGAATATATAAACGGCAGTCATATCAGTTCCTAAAATTAAAAATTTTGAGAATCGATATGAGAAATTTTGTACAGTTTAGATTGATGGGACAGATGACACACCTTTAGAGTTGATGGATTTACAGAAAGCATCATCAGTAAATACATGGGAAGTAATATGAAAGTGACACTTTTCTTATTAATTTTGACGATCCATGTGATGCCACTGACTGCTGCCCAGCTCGATGTATTTGCTCTACCGCAAGCTCCGCGTTATGCAGCAAAACCAACTGTACCACCCGAATATAAGAAATATTTCGAGTTAGAAGATCATGCACGTGGCCTTGTCGAAAGTGTTATTGGTCCAAGACCGGGTGGCTTTTTCCCACCAAAAAGTTATGAAATAGGTCGTCCAGCACGAGACAACTCAGAGAATAACAACGCTCCATTGAATGAAGTTGAACGTTCCCTGGAACAGTTTCTCAGTGCACCATCAGGATTTTCCCAACAACTACCACCCGGTTTCAATCAAGGCTTCTCGGTTGCTAACAGTGGTAACCCTATTGCATCATTTTCAAATGTCCGCAAACACTCAGTACGTCAAAATTTCATATTTTTTTTTCCACATTCAATTCATAATACTTTCATGGTTTCATATGTTAGCTTCTGTAGAATTTAGTTACCTTAGATTTCCGATTTTTTCACATTATGTTCAAATGATGCAGCTGACGCAATCGCAGGTAATGCAACTGAAAGGGATAATAGAGGATGAAATTGAGGGATCAGGTGATAATGCGCATTCATCTATTCGTGGTATACCCAACGTTTTTCCTGATTTAACCAGACCACCGGTTGAGCTAATGCGTCCTCCTTTACGACAGATAACTACAGAACAGGTACTAATGCAGTTGTGCTTATGACAATATATTTTTTTTTTATTCTAAAAGCAAAATTAACTAGGAAAAAGAAACAGATGAGAGTAAGCTAAATGTTGATGTGTAAAAAATGAGTTAAATTAGAAAAGAACAAAACGAATTTGAAATCAGATAACTCAATAAATGATGATTGCATTAGATGGCAGCAATACCAAAGATTGATTCACAACCCGAGGTTCCTGATGGAGGTTTTGGACCTAACGAGATTGAAATCCGTCGTGCTTCACTCTCTAACAAAGAGAGTAATGATGAAGGCATCGAAAATGAAGAAGTTTGTACAGAAATTATTTGTTCTAGTCGTTTGGAAATTTTTTGCAAAAATTCAGGCCTCAAAATTATTGAAAGTTTGAATTTATTTCTACTGATAGAATTTTTCAACTTACAAGCCTTGTTTAAGTATGGTGCATTAACGGACGATTCTTCATCATCGGGTGGCCTAATTGGTACAATAATTAGTTTAATCGGTTTGAACAGCAAAAAAAGTAAGCTTGAACCTGACACACGAAGTTTAACGAAAGCGGTTGGTAATTTGATTGGGGGTGAGAATAGCCCAATTCCAGCCAAAAACGTGATCGCCGATGTTCTCTACAAAGCACTCACTAGTGGAACAATTCAAGTGATTATTTTTGATTCTGTGATTTTTGATTGAAAATACCATGTGTCAGAAACTTGAAATTGTTGGTAATTTGTTCTAAGCCTTAACATTTGAAATAATAAGTCTGGGTTAGCTAAATTCGGTATCATTAAAAAACATTTTTGCATTAATTTTATACAAGCATATTTCGAATTTGTAGTCAACAACTACGCAAGAAGGAATCAAAAATTTCAGATCGTCTCAAGTTTTGAAAGATAACAATATGGCAGTGCTTACTTTTTAAATGCAATTGATTGGAATTATTTCTCATCAATGCTTTGAGACAATTTATTCATGGATTTACTTTGTGCATGAAAAATTCTAGGCAAATGGAAGTAATGAAAATCCTGATGCTAAGTCACTGACGCTTACCTCTGCACAGCAGGCTGTGATCGGTGAAAATTTGGAAATGATTCAAAATCTAATAACTCAACCATCGTCTCCACTTTGTAATCCAAAACCAGTTCCTATTGAAGAATTTGATGTTGATGCATTCATGGGCCAGTGGTATCAGGTTAGTTAGAATTGAAGTTTTGACAGGGACTGGACCTACTTTAGCTTGAATTAGTAGCTGTTTTGAACAAGTTTGAGACGAAAAAGAAAACTCATCTTTGTTCAAACATGTGCAAATTCTTTTTAATTGAGTTATTTAAAGCTGAACTCAAACTTTGAAAAATTTTTTGACATTTTCAGGTCATGTATAGTCCACCATTGGCAACAGCACCGTGCAGTATGGTTGCTTATAAGAAGTTAGCAGATGTGAACGATGGCGGGGTTGGTACTATATTTGAAGTGTTTGAATATACAACCGATGGTACACCATACGTTAAACCACGTATCAGTTCTGGCTATGCTATTGTTAAACAAGCTGGAGAATTAATTTATCGTACAACTAGTTATCAAGATGATGTCAGCGGTAAGTATTTACATTTAAAAGGAACATTGTAATCATGGAAATAGCTCCTTTGAAAATTCATTTCTGACAAATCAAACAACTCAATTTCTTTTATTGCATGAAAATTTTAGTTCATATAATTCACGCGGGTCCGTTAAATGAAGCCGGACAATACAGCTTCACAATACTTTCAACGAATTGCAATTATCCATTGTACGTATTTGCACGCGATCCTGTCGTTTACAAGCAGGTTACTATTTTATATTTAAATTGTTGCTAAATGATATCTTTAAAAGTGTATGCTGCTGTAGAATACTAGTAGTCAAACAAAGTAGAACATGATTTCACAGATGTTCAAATTAAAATTGTTTTTTTTTTTTTTTTTTCTTTTTTTTTTTTTTTTGCAGTGAATTAATTGATGAGTGAACTTCTGTGAATGTGTTGCATGTCAAAAAAAAAAAAAAAAAAATGATAATTAAAAAGCTAGATCAAAATAAACTGCAACATTTCTGGTTTTGAATAAGGTCATGTAGTGAAGTTTTGTCATCGTTTTATAAATTCATTAAATAGGACTATTCTCATTTTTAGAATTCCGGAACTTTAATCATTTTTCTATTATTATAGCGTTATGAAACGACTGTAAATCAAATCCTTGAACAGAAAGGATTAATTAATGGATTTTCCCGCTTGTTGAACATTGTTGCACCCGTAGATAATTCGGTGTGCACATTTCCACCGAGTCTGTTCAACGTTCATGCATAATACCTTTTCAACACTGTAATCTTAAATGGCATAGTGTATCAGGAAATTTGTTAATGAATCCTGCTGCAATAAATTACCTAATTTCGTTTTCGTTATTTCTTCAGTTCTCTTTTGCTTAATGGTGGAGTTTAGCACACCTCAAAACTACTAGTTGAGAGTGCTACTGGTTTTGTAGTTAAAATCAAAAGTAACAATGAAGGTTTTTTAGTTAAAATCAAAAGTAACAATGCTTGTCATATTCGATCTCTTTCTAATTAAGTTAAATTTAAAATTCATATTGCGCTTCACACTGATTACATTAATAATCTTTTTTTTTTTTTTTTTGAAACTACAGCTCTTTTTTTTTGTTTTACACTGCTGTACCTACGATGACAGATAGCATTTCCAAAATTATTAATGTAATCTATTAAATTCAAATTTTCTGCCGGGTATTTATTTTCTGTCATCAGTAATTCTTTCCAAACACCTGATTTCCTTTGTTTACACCGAAAATACAAATGAATAGTATATAGGCCAGCTCAAATTATATTTTCCGTTTTATTTCCTCAAATTGTTGGCTTTGTAACAAAAAATTTTTATTTTATAGCAAAAAATGCCATTTTCCTAAGGTTTCGAAAAATTTTTCCTGATCGTTGTTAGATTTACCAGGCCGAAAATATGTGCATTAATACTGTACATAGTGCTTCGAACTGAAAGTTCGGCATACATCTCCACACTTTATTTTATGCTGTAATACACTTATTCAACAAAGGTGGTGCAAAAGATGTGCAAATTCTGGATTTTGCGTATAAATCTATGTTTTACATTGCGCTGATTGTTATATTCACTCTAGTTTAAGAATAATAAATAATTGGGACAAGTTTTCTGAACACAACATTAATTCTTCAAATAATACAAATAAAGTTTAGCCATTTTTATGATCATGGTAATTGTTATACAACTCTAAACAATGACTTTGTGAGTCATCAAAATGGAGTGATGAGAGGTGATAACTGAATTTCCATGTCAGTGAGTTTGGAAAACTTTTAAATTCAGATGAAAATTGTAGAGAAGAAATGTTTGTCATCCGTTGTTCTGGATTGAAAGTCTTTGAAAGGAAAGTGATTTTTCATTGTTTGTTATCTTTTTTTTACAATTCCATACTTGAAGGAGAAGCGTTCATCTCTATGCTGCATTCTTTCTTGCATCAGACTACTAATTTTCTTGCAATCAATTGTGAAAAAAGCGCTTCAGGACCAAGTTCAACTCATTTTTTTCCTCGTTTTCAAGAAATCACGCGTTTACTGAAGTCACAGTATAAGTTGAGAGTGGTCAAATATTCTATTTCCGTTCAATTTCGTTCAATGAAGGCAGAAAACTGACATTAATTAGTCATGAAACAGCAAATGTGTAGAGCGGGAAGTAATATATGGGTCATTTGTAATTCAAATTCTATTTATCAAAGTATTGAAAAAGATATGTAAAACATATACATCTCTTATTAAAAGTTATCCAAGAAAAAAATTTTTCAGGTCACCGTGATGAGTATGAAAAGTGACAGTACTTTCGGGCTAAATAAAGTGTTGAATGGTGGAACTGGTAAATCCTTGAAAATGATGAAATGATAGAAAAAAAAAGAGCACTGAAATATGTGGATACCGAGCTCTTAAAATGACAGGAATAGGCAAGAAGAGGGGAAAAGGGACATAGACCCCAAAACAACCCTCTTTTGGAGGGCGTGATAGTGTCAATGTAGAAAGAGGAAGAGACAGACTGCTGATGATTATGTACCAATGACCTAGTTCAAAACATTTCAAACATTGATGATCCAAATGACTGCTTCTTCTTTAGGTCGTTCCTCTAAAGTCGATACTATTTTTATTTTAATCTTTAGCTTCATTTTCTGGATTAGCTTACCTTTATCCCAGTCACAGCTCATCCACAATGATTTCCAACAACAAGTTCCTTCAGTTAATACTGCAGACTCATTCTTGCTAAGACCATCCTTGAAATTTTTTCGAGATAGCAAACAAAATAATTCTACATCACAGCCATTTGGCAAAAATATTGTACTTACCAAACAGGTTTGTTCGTTAAATTTAATAGTGGTGTAGTGATAATACTGCTTGTCAAAACAGACTTCATATTTTTAGTTGATATAATTAAGTATCGGTTAATTAAATCATTTTGCAGTTAAAATGCAACAGCATAAGCCACATAAAATTTTTTGGAGAGGAAAGTCAGGAAGTTCCAGCCAACACTACCAACATCTCATTTAATTATTTCATACTGCTTAGATCTAAATACTCATCTCAAAACTCTACGACTACTTCATCCAATTTTCATGTGATATACTTTTGCATACTTTTGCAACTGGTAGTGCAAAGATAATGTCAAGATTGAGAAATTACAAGAAAATTATAAAGTTAAATCTTAAAAAATTGACATCATACCAGTTCCATAAATTGTATTTTATAGGATAAAATTGCACTAGCAAAAATAAGCGAAATAGCGGACAGCATTTTGAATCAGTTAGGACTGTCATCTGATTTCAATGGTCGAAGATACAAGCCACTGGTGGCACCTAGCTCCTTTCAAAACGATGACATAAATTCGGTAATAGCTGAAGCAAATCAGAACCGTATCGATTTGCAAGGTATTGCTAGTGGACAAATTCCTGGTTTGGCTCCAATACCAGTTCCAGCTTTTCCTGGACCGCAAGATGTGCCAGCTATACCAGGCGTGAACACTATTCCTGGTCTTAGCAATTTCAACTATCTGGTCTGTTTCCTTTTTTCAATTCAAATTTCAGAATAATATGAACTAAATTTTTAAGAATTTTTTTTTCCTAATTTCAAAAATAATTTATAATTGAACTGAATGCTCATACTAACTTTTTTCATGGTGCCTTTGGCTATATGCTGAGAGAGTTGTAGTTGTATTGAAAGTGTTATTTTATAAGTGTTAATATTAGAGAATATTTTCCATCTTCACTTGGAAGGCAACCATATTGTATTTAGATAAGCCAGTTATTTCCACAAATGATCCCACCTACAAATACCCTTTTGGGTTCATCGATCAGCCGATTAGTACCAAAAGGCTACGCTAAAAATTTGGCAAAAGATGTCTTTCGAGCTGTTCATCCAGCTGCTGAGAATGTCGATGTCGCCCGCATGACGGGTCGTTGGTTCCAAGTATGCGTTTTCCACTTTTGATCAGTTAGACAGTTTTCGTTAGCAGCATTTTCATCTAATTCAAATTTTAGGTAATCAACAGTCCCCATGTTATCCGTGAAGCATGCACAGTGTCGCACTGTATGTTCTGTTTGTTTTAGTTGTCAACAAACAACTTTTATTCCTATCGATAAGAATATTACAATAGCCTTGGTTATCGAGATTTTGCTTTCTTTACTTTCCTAAAATAAATTTCATAACATGATATGAAATTCTTCTAGTATCAGTTAAACTAAAAAAATAGTCTACCAATTCATTCGTACAGAAAAAAAAAAAAGAAAAATACGAAACTACATCGAGAAAAATCAGTCTAAATAGTTTCAAAATTCTATTAAAACTCAAAATTAATCTTTTATAGTTGGTGCGCTAACGAACAATACATATAGCGCGACCTTTACAATCCTGAAGTTTTATCGTGAAGGGAATGCCAATGGCCCACCACGTTTCTCACTTGGTTACGGATTCAAATCAGGTGATACTGGGCAGTTCGTCCTGCACAATAGCAATTCGCCGGATTCGGAACCATGTAATCAATTGATCAGTTTATGTAGTAAGAAAAATGTGCACCTACACAATAGTATTGTTATATGCAAGGCTGTAGTGCTTCCTTAAATTCAGAATGTTTGGACATTGAAGGTCAACTGATTTAGGTCAGAACAAGATGTGGTTTCAAATCCAATATTCAAGCCTGACTTTTTCATTATCTGATGAATTATTCGAGCTTGTTTCATTGTTCACATTTTTAAATGAAACTTGAACTCCGTATCATGGATCTAGTAACAATCCAATTTGTTTTCAAGACATTTTCAAAAGTTTTAATTACAGAAAATTTCAAAAGAAAATCGTAGAAATTCGAGTTCTCCTTTTAAACTTTATGTATTTTCATATTATAAACAACATGTCAAGAGCACCATTATATTTCTTGGATCAAAATCCAGTAAAAGTTTTCACACTGCAGTTTGGGTGATAAAAAAGGGACCATTAAACGAATACAACCAGTATGATTATGTGATTGTATCGAACTGGGTCCGATTTCCTGTATTTGTGATTGCTAGAGACCCAGAAAGATTTCGCAGCGAACACATGCAGAATGTATTGCAATTTTTGGAAGATAATAGTAAGTCATTTGCTTTGAATGAACATTGTTGATCAATTATAGGGATTTGACAAACTTCAGAAATGATGAAAACACATCAATTTCTGAAATGAGTAAATTATGGCTTTGAAACGACGGATAAACAATTAAGGAACAGACAATTGAGTTGGTCATATAGTTACTGAAAATTTGATGATCTATAAAAGTTGTATCACTTCTGGTCTATGTTTTCTAGGTTCAGATTTCATCAAATTAAAATTAAGGAACAAAATACTTTCCAGATTATATAAACGTGATGACAAAAGCTTTCAACATGATCTCTCCCGTGGATTACAGCCAGTGTCAGTACACGCCAACATTTTCTGGAGCAGGGCGTTAGCTACTACTTTTTTCATTGTCACTGGTTGCAGTAATTTATTTCTGTCCTAACTTTTTATAGTTGTTTCATTGACCAATTGAGGTATGACTGCATGAAATGCTGCGGAAATTATTATGAATAGTAAATTATACGACAAGCACTTTCTATTGTACAAATAATTTTTGTCTCTCATCATTAAGAAATCTATTGGGAAGATGAACAGCGTTATGAAATGATATTGACGTGTAAACTTCTAAAAAAAACAGAGTAAAACAGAAATGGCAAAATTCAATAGATTAATAGAAACACTGGATATTCGACTGGTCAGATCAGTTGGTAATTTCATCTGAAAGGGTTTTAAATACTGCTAAAACTTTATTTGACATTTGTCAATTGAACGGTACTGTAATGATTTTATTTGAAATGAAATGTACTGTATATAAGCACCAATTCGAAACAAAAAAAAACTGATGCTATCAAAAATAACACTTTCGGTGTGATTGAAATAAAATTATAGTTCTTCATAACTAATTTTTTTTTAGAAAAAAAAAAAAAAAAAAAAAGAATGGTTTCCTAATTTCAGCTAATTTTCTATCTGCAACAATTCACGTTATCTTTCTCTCACTTTATATTTCCTGGTCTTAGTTTTTTTGTTTTATTCATTTTTGCCAAACTACAAGATTTTATATATTTATTTAAGCAGTTTAGCTCCCTCCGGTTTCATATAATACACCTAAAAGCGTGAATGATGATGTATACTATAGGTGGCAAGAATGTGCCCGATATATTCGTTAATCTGTCTTTTAAACAGTTCACATACCACAAGTTGCTTTCTGTTAGATTACTACATCTATTGTCATAAAATACGGTCTGATTCAGGTAGACTGTAGAGCCGAATAGGGAATGCTTTGCAGAGAAGGCAATGTTGAGTCTTTTATTAAGATAAAAGATGTCACTGAACGAGGCTATTGAACAGTATTAAAAAATTTAAGGAAGTAAATCTGTAGGGGCGCAGAAAGCGCACTATGTTTGGAGCGGTGCTCGCCAGTTAACCTATTACCTCCTTTAATCTGTTCATAGAATAGGAACTGTATGATTACTGTAAGTAAACAGCTGTTCCTAATCAGCTGCTCATAGTAGTGAATTACAATTCTCAGACATTGCAAGTAAATTTGGTTTAGAACAAAGAAGGTTGGTTGAAGCAAAGAATAGTCAAATCTGAGTTTGGCTTTTAGGCTGGAAGATCTTGATAATAAGTAATGCACATATTCTTTGTTAGCAAACTGTGAAACTCCAGACAATGCAGATGATTATTGCATAACGAATTTGATGATTGAAACATAAAAATACGACGATAATCTTTAATCTTATGGATTCAGTACAAATTCATTTCGACATATATTATATTCGGTTTTTCCGCTATGGAATTGTACAAGTTGTCAAAGCAAGAAGAAGCAAAAAATGAAGCAGAGGAAAGCAATATTTTTGTATTCATGAAAAACTTGCATAATGTTTTCCATGAAGAGACATTCTTTGAAACATTACATTACTTGGCTGGTGACTTTTTCTTTCAGTTCACTTTCATCTCTCACTGTTCCACATTTCTGAAAGCTTGTTAATTGCATCTGTGGATTTTGATATTTTATCTAAGTAGACTGTTTCCTTAAAATCTGAAAAGCAATTAGGAAATCAATATAAGCAAACCAGTCAGAATTAATATTGTTTTATTATAATTTTGAATTTTGGAATTTCCTTCCTTTCCACTACAACGTATCAAGGTCAATTTGAGTTAATCCACTGATCCGTTTCTGAAGTTTATAACTCCAAATATGTTCAAAACACATCCGGAAGTAAAAAAATCCTCAAAATTTTAAGAAAACATCTTTTTAGTTCTTCAATCAGTAATTGAAAGTGAATTTGTGTTCCATAATTCTTAAAGGATTGATGTATTGAGGCAAGGACGGGATACAATCTATGAATTATTGTTATAAAGTCCTTACAATATTTATTTCTTACAACTCATATTTAAAAAATGCCGTTATGAAGCAATAAACATGAAATGTACAGCTAACGCGATAATTTTATTGCCTTTAGGAAGTGTTAGCTTGAAATATCTGTTTCGGAAACACTAGAAGTAAAAGAGAGGAAACAAATGCCACTTCTGCTTCAATATACTAAAGGATTTGTTGCCAAAATAATTTAAGTCAGTGAAGTAAGCATTAAAAAAGTCCACAATTTATGGACTTTTTTAAATGAAACAATGAAACTTTTAGCTGGAAGCTGATAAATATACTGATTATGTTTATTTTATGTTTTCCATGAGTAATGAAAATGTGGATTAAAAAAAGAAAATTTATATTCCTTATATTGCTGGAATTTTAATAGATGCTGCAGAATAAGCCGAATAAACATACAAAAAACTCATGATTTCTCAGTTATTAGATCGATTCTTCTGTATAAATGATTTAACTTTTTGTTTAGGCTACCTTGATGCCTACTATGCATTCGTAGCTTTCACTGAAATGTTATTTACAAAATATACTGATTTATCCGGTTGCGCTATTCGAAAGCATGGAGTGATGTGATGATGTCAGCGGGGCGAAATAGAACTTATATTGGTCAGTGTATAGCATTAAATTTGTCCAGTGACAAAAATCCCAGTCCTTACACAATAATTCTACCAAAAAAAAATAGCAAAGTTTTTACGGTGTTCAAGTCATTTTTAAATCAATCTTTGGCACCAACCACTTTTTTGACAAATGTCAATATCAAATTTTTGTACTTTTTACAACATTGCTTTTGCTAATGTACTACAGCAGAATTACCAAATGAATGTTGGACAACAGCAAATTCGAGCAGCCTGTCACGTTATTTGCTTTTTAAGACATAAACACATGAGTTCACAAACAATCTTAAAACAGCAATAACTCTCTTACTAGAATAATTGGAAATTGGGCCACACATACTTGTATATCATTATGTTCCAAGAAGCTATGCAATATTCTACTGTTAATTGATAGTCATAAAATATAATAAGGATAAATGCCTAACGAAGAAAAAATTAGATCTGAGTGAGCGCTGAAGAAACACTGGTAATTTTAAATGGATTAATGTCTAACTTGGAAGTAATGATGATGTTTTGTTAAGTTTTGTACACAGCAAACAATATAACGTAACTAAACTTTTGAACGACTGTTTATAATCTGAAATTTCTTTCACACCTCCTAACAAGCAGCAGATAGTCATCGTAAAAAAACTGAAGTGAGACTCTATGACTGAGTGAAAAATTTATTTCTACTCTTTTTAGACAACGAATCAACAAAGAAACAAAAGAAACAAGCAAGATCATTTGCTGCATTAGAAACTGCATTGAAAACTAATAATGGACACTGTCGAAAAACTTTTAGCAGTGCTGATAACTAATTTGTCATATTTCCGGTAAAAGTGGAGTGCGTGCAAGATTCATAGCTTTGATTTCATAATAGCTAAGAATCTAGGATTAAATGACTGTCGGTTAAAAAGTAGTTAAAGTGTTAAAATTCAAGTGTCTTTTTCTTGTTCCCTTTTCATTCAAGTGCGTATGTTATTGCTATTTTTGTGTTTTGCAACTAGCAATTCTAATCCTTAGTAAATTCCCAGTCCTCGAATAAGTATCAATCCTTTTAATTATGTCATTTTATGCCATTTAGATCACTTCTCGAGTGCTCAACCCCTTCTCGATTGTTTAGTAACTACAGCTTTGTTTATTGAGTAATTACAACGGAACGTTCTGATTACTTAATCTAAAGAAAATGATGACCTTCAGTTGTTGGTTTCTCGATATGTAGCTAATTTAGTATAAGTTTAGTCAGTTAATAAAATTCTATATTGGAATTTGTCAGTAATGAGTGGATATTGTTAATCTAAAGTATAATATATTACAATTCACACATCAACGGAATGAGTGGTAATAAAATGAAGCTTACGAAGGTAGGAGAATATGTGCAATAAAAACAAATGCAATGACTGGTATCTTTCGCATCGTAACTTAATTTCAAGTTGATAGCCATAACTTAATTTCAAGCTTCGTTGCTAAATTATTCTTTACTGTCTGCTAACTGATAGATCCCAGGTACGAGATTGTTCCAACTCCTCCTAAACAGACTCGTCCCAGTTTTTTTTTTAATCCTGATGAAATGTTTTGTGCAGAGAAATCTTTGACTGCTGCAAAGAAACGGTTTGTTGTGTTCATCCACGTCACTTATGTATATATTATATATATACTAGTACTCAGGTTATCCTTACGAGATTACTTTTCGGTATATTTGCTTATTTTGTTTGGTAAAAGTTCGTTTTTGTCCTTTTTTCTACTTCTTTTGTTTAGTTTCAATTATATCGACTTTCATTTGATTTTTCTGAGTGTGAGAATTAGCTAGAGGTCTTAACGTTGAATATTATAGTGTTGGTTTTGCGTCTTTGTTTTGGGAGAGCTTAGCCGACATCTTGAATGATACCAGTGTATATTTGATATGTATATTTGAACTTAATCACTTACTGGTTTATGAACTCACTGGAAGCCCCTTAGGCTGATACTGTTTCAGCATACATATAACTCATATAATTCGTCACATCGCAGTACATATAGAAAATGTCAGATTTCTGAGGAATTCGCTTTCTTAAGCACATTTCACTACATAATGGACGAGTCACGCCTCCCATTTTCTCATCGACATTGACTTTTCGCAACGAAATAAGCAAAATTACTACATCTAGGCAGTCTGACAATGCAAATTGAAAATATATAATAATTTATGCAAGGAATATTGCTATACAGAGTTTGCTGGTAAAGATGGAAAACTGCCATTTATCAGCTGTATTACCACAAAAAGTTTTTAAATAAAACAGCAACACTGGTGACCTAAACACATGTAATGCCTTAGATATCGCATTCCAAAAAGTCACTTTAATCATCATTATTCTTAACCATATCGAAAATTTCATATTTTATTCGATTCTCAAGCAGGCATGCAAAAGATATCGTGCATAGAGCGGACTTTCTGGACACCACCATCCAAAACACACACACGATTGTATCCTTCCAGCACGCATAACTTTGATATCTGCACAAACAACTCATTAGTTTTATTTAAATCTTGTGACGAGTTTTTGCAGTGATACCAACAGTAGTTGTTGAATAATAGATCCGTTAGTAAAAGAAATGCTTGGATGATTTAAAACATGATATGTCAACCATTAAAGATATATGCTGTAAACTTTAGTTTTTTTTTTTTTTTTTTTTTTGCATTACATATATTTTGAAAGACTGGTAATACAACCAAATTATAAAAATACATGTGCAACCTTTTTAGCTCTCTGTAAATGTTCATTATCAACGATAACGACGACATGTTCTGCCGACTGAGCATTTATTAACGCTGTTTTAATGGTATCCAACGTATCCTCCTCACCAAAGGGAGGCAAATTCACACTGCCCACAATGGCACCACGAGAATACCTGAAAGTTCCAGAATATATTAATGTATATCTGATGTAAATATTAGGACCACAAACATACTGATGATTCGGAAAATTATAAGGAAAAATATATCAAAAACTTACTCATATTGCGGACGGACATCGACAACAAGTAGTGAGGAATGTTCAGTGAGACGAATGAGATCGGTAATTGATATCCGTGGACAACAAAATTCGTTCAGTTCAGCTACAGTATAATGCGTCATTGCATACTCCTCTCGTACATGCTTAGATGCAAACTGTCTGAAGGTGCATGATGCTGGTACAGCATTGTAGTAATTCAGTGAATATTGCACCAAACGTTCCATATTTAGATCTGGTAACGAAAATGGATGAAAATTAAAGGTACAGCAATTACTGTAATAACTTTGGATGAAACAAACCTGGAAGATCTGAAAAAAGTAAAATTGCATCATTAAAATGTTTGGTAATAAGTCCAGCTCGTAACTGCTCCATTATTGCAAGTCCAACAAATAATGGGAAAGACGAATCCGATAATAATAAAACGTCCCAGACCTAATTTAAATAAAGCAAAATTAGTCTATCATTATATAAAGTTTTTATTAGACTCATAACTACCAATGTTAGATTTATTCACATACAAAATTCATTTAACTTGAGGTCCATTACAGTCTATTATGGAAAACACTGCATATAGAATTCAGGATTATTGCAAATGTAATTAAAAGATCATTACATAGAACAACTTGTGCAAGGGTAATATATGGGCGAAACAGGTGAGGAACCATGGAATAGCAAATAACTCAGGACGGAAATCCATTGCGGAAAGATGTGTGTATAAAGCAGCATCCATGAATGCCAAAAGATGAAAAAAAACTGCCAGATATTCTACAAATAAACTCGATCACAATTATAAAAAATTCAGTTTTATTAATGAAAAATATTCATTCAAACCTTGTACGACAGATGAGTTGTCTCGCAGAAAAAAGTCATGCAAATATAGGCTGATGAACGATTCCAGACAGGAATATGCTCTAGCTGAAAGTCGCATAACATTATTTGGTCAAAATAAGACGCAGAAATTCCAAACAAAACCAGTCAATACCGTACTGTTGTTAACAAGTAAGTATCTCCACTATCAAATCCAATTTGTAAATCAAAGCTGATACCCAAACAAGTGAAGTTGAGAACAAGAAATGGTGCCGCTAGAGAATCCAAACCTTGCCAATAAACATAATTTTCATGTAAAAGAAGCCATGTCTTCAAAAGACGTTTCAGCTTGCGATGCGCAATAGATGATGCCATCAAGTCATCATACTGAAAAAGTTGTTATCTTTTAAGAGACGCCATACTAATTAATAAACAGATGATGCCAAGAGCAGTGTAAGAAGATGTGAAAGATTAGGCGGAGAAATTGCGTCCACAGTTACAAAGGATTACAATTAAAAGAAATAAATGATAAACTACAAAGCCATGTGACAGTTCTTGAAACTATAATAGAAAAAATTTTGTTGTTCACATATGGGGTACATAAACCATATTGTTTACAAATGCATGAAAATTTTCCTAGAAAATTAATTAAATTACATACAGTGAATGGATAGTACAAACAAGTCTTCCTTTTTTTTTGAAAAAAGTCTTGCAGTGAAAATGCCTTTGCGTAACTGTCGCATGAAAATATAACCTGGTGACACCGAGGAATATCGACCAATAACTGGCGGTCAGAAGAATGGGGAGAAAACGTATCAATAGCTATGAAACGTTTCTCAACATCCCAATATATATTCAGCAGTGCACTCCATAGATAAGCTCTATAAAGAGGAGGAATGTCATGACAACATTCACAAAATAGAAGTGATTTTTTGAAGGGAAAGCTTGAAAGCAAACGACGAAGAATAAGCATCCGTCGACCCTGAAATGTGAAATCTGTGATATGATGAAAATTTTTCCAAAAAAAAAAAAAAAAAATGCTAATTAAAAATTAAATAATGGAGAGAATGTAGACCTGGTATTCAATGTCTTTTTCTTTCACCATTAGCGATAAATCATAGATCTCTCGCGTTTTTTCTTCCATTTCAAATGAAATGAGAAATTTGCTTTCGTTAAGAAACTTCATCCGCTAAAATATTAATTCTGCATACAGCAACGAAGAAAATCAAATCCTTAGTGATGAAAACATCATGATCATTCTCTCAAGTTCTTCTGTGAGACTTACGTTGCGAAAATTGTTTGACGGAAGGATAAAAATATCAGGAGTGAACTCATACTTCCTTATATGAGTATTACCATACATGAAGCAATCTCCATTAACTAAACTGAAAAGAGTGAAAAACATGAATGTAATAATAAAGATATGTCATTTGTAAATTAAAAAGGCAAAACGAACTATGGTAAAGCGATAACAGGTGGATTTGCTTTAATAATATCATGGTTAATAAGAATAGTTTCAATGCTACTTCCACATAATTTCCATAAAAAAAAGGCTTCGTGAACTGGTAAATTTCGAGTTATTTCTGTTTCTTCTCCTTCCAAGGACTCTGAAAAATTTTTTTTTTAGAAATTGTATTTTATAGTAAGAATACGAGCAGTAATATGAGCATACATGAGTTTATAGTGAGAATAAGAGCGTACAATGATGTGAATAATGCATAAATGAACATACCCCTCATATGTTCAACACTTTCCCTCAGACTGTCTTCATCGCTTTCACTACCATAAAAGCTATAATCCTTGTTTACGTTTGAGTAGCTGTTATTTTCACTGCTGATTATCTGTGAAGTTTTGTTAAGCTAATGTTTGCAATTTCATGTCAGCAATAAATTTATAAATAATTGAATGCATGTTAGCAGTACTTACAGAAAGTAACGCCTTGGCAGTAGGTCGTTGTGACGGAAGAACACATAGGGCTTTCTCAAGTATTATCATAATTGTGATATTTGACGTAATATGAATATTTGGTTTCTTCTGTTGAATTTTAGCTAACAATAACGAGAAAATGGAGCCATTCCGTTCTTTATCTTTAAAATTTTAAAACACTAGAAATACTTAAATCACTCCAGCTGAAAAACCCATCGACTGTTAGAACTTTCAACTTGTAAAAGTTGTATTCGTTTAGAACCTAATTCAACTTGAGCGTATTTTTTTGCATGAAAAAAAAAAAAAAAAAAAAAAAGATGACAAATTATACAAACAGCTCGACAATCTCATATATTTATATGACTTAATAACTGCCCAAGTTAGGTGACCGTAGTACCAACCAATCCATAAAATACTTAAGGCTGATTCACCGTTATTGTGCTAAATTTTGAAAAAAATAAAGAAATAGAAGTTTGGGTAAGTGATTTCTACAAAAAAAAAAATGTAATAGAAATGGAAAACTAAATTTTTAATAAAGACGAATATGTATGTATGAATTACAAAAAATACTTCTGATTAAAACACTCAGTGTAGAATAAAACTGTTTTGGAGACCAAATTTCGGACAGAAGACACCCCTGAAAATAATTTATTTTAGAAGTGAGGAATATATCATCGCATATGACATTCAGTCCATAAAATATGAAAGAATATGAAACTTCTTTAGATGTCGAAAACAGAAATTACGGAAGATGGATTCCATGTAGATTCAGATTTATAAAACAAAGAAACTGACATACGATTGAAAGCTCAAGTACAGCAATTCCAAATGACCAGATATCTCCAGCTCGACAAATGAAATCGTTTTTGATTTCGGCTTGCAAGAAACGTTCTGGAGGAAGGTACCAAGAAGAATATGTGTAATACTCTAAATCTCTTCTACTACCACTGATACAGTGCAAACCATACTGAGCTAGTCGAACTAAATTCTGCAACATAACAATAATGTTGTCATAAAGTTGAATAAGATGTTACAACATGTTACCTGAGATGAAAGGAGGACTGAATTTAAGCTGAAGCATCCAAAAGTGATATATCGAGAATGCAAATACGTGAAAGCTGACAAGACCGGTTGCAATAACGATATGATTCGCGCTACTTCCAACCTAAAACTTTTGAATCTGATTATATTTCTGCTAAAATATTTATGAAACACTGAAAATTTAAAAAATGTTTCGTATCAATAACGCCACCAGCTAAAAAAAAAAAATGAAAATCACAAAAAATATGATACTTCTACTTCATTAGGACAATTTAATTAAATTAAATAAAAGCAGTATTACGTTGATAATTACTAGAGCTAAGTTTCTACATCCATTCCCTAACATTCCACTCTTAAGTAAACTTCTATTCTTCCACAAAACAACCTTCTGACTGCTGATGAAAAAGAATCCATGGATATCTAACTGACGACTCAAACTTAATATTAAACGTGGAATTCCATGTGAAACAAACTGCTGAATTGCACATGGAACTGTTCAATATTAAACGCAAATTTTAGCTTGGAATTCAATTAAAAGAATTCTGAATGAAAATCTAGAAGCTGGTTTAGTGGAATAGAATCTTGAACTCAGTGGAAAAGAGTTGCAAGAAGAAAACATATTACTAATCCACAACTTTTGTGCATATGTACCGGTCAGTCAGTATACATCAATACATCAGTGCGGTGCAATATTACGAACAATAAAGTGACTCATACTGTAAGCCCAGATACTAAGTGACAGATAATCAATGACATTCTAAAAATGAACGGATAATAAAATAGCTTACTTTTTACACTCTTTCAATTCTTCAACGGCTGATCGTGAATAATGCTCCGAAATCACGAAACCTGCATTCCAAACTAAAATCATTAAATTCAGATTTATGAAAAATGCAAAGATACTATTTTTGTAATTCCTTCGTCAGTACAAAAAAGCTGACATATCATTACAACAATAACAACTATTTAAAAGTCATGAAATATAGCTTCAAAACAGCAAGTTTTGAAAAATGTTATAGTACTGATGCCTCAGATGCATCATGAATCCAGTTGTTCGGATTCCATTCAGACTTTCTAACAATGTATCTCCTGTCAGCCGCTAAAAACATTTTAAGTTCAACTACTATAACCTCAAAAGTTGAATTCAATTTGTACCCTTCACATTTCAAAGTAATGGAAATGAGAACTAAGAGCAGGTGAAAGTTGAAACAAAAAAGTTTAGTAAGAGAGGCATCACTTGCTCAAATGCGAAACATACGAACTGTTGATCGAACAAACTCGACGTATTTGCAGAGATGGGGATGATTCAACGACGTAAGTTTTGAAAATTCTCCCAGCATATGCGCAGCTGATGACGACGAAAAACCGCTTGTTATTGTAAGATGGCAAGATGAATCATCTCCAATTACAGCTGTAGCACCGAACTCGGCTGACCCCAAAAGGCGTACATTTGTTCCCATCGTCATCAGGAATGGCTGAAGGGAAATGAGGACTTGAACAAATTCAGTGTGATGTCGGACATATATACAAAATTATCCAATCCGAGAAAACTGATGAAAACGATTTGAAAGGATCCCCGTAAGAAACCAATTTAAATAAACGTTTACATAAGTAGAAGCATAAATGCACATTCATCCAAAGGCTAACTTTTTTCTGAATGTGGAAACTTCTAAAAAAAGAAAGAAGCAAATGTCCCTTGCATGACGACAATAGTGCCTCTGAAAACCAGTTAATGTACAAACAAAATTCAAAAACATGAGTGCAGTCAGAGTTCTTTCTTGAAAAAGTTATATCTTTTAAATAATTCTACTCACTTCAGACCAAACTTCATCATTATTCTCATAAAAATTTACTGCGCTAATATCAGCACTAAAAGTGCCACGTAACAAGGTCGGAATATTCCTTGTCAATTACATCAAAAAATAGTTCATATTTTGTTCCTTTTACGTACACATATTTTCACAGAATGAAATAGAATTATTTCGTGTGAAGGAAGCGACTGAATGATAATGTTTTCAAATAGTAGATGCATAAGATTGCCCGAATTACTATGTTTTGTGATTTACTCTTACCTGGAAAGTTTATTCCAATTCCTTAATGCTATAGACAAGCAAGACTTTCTCTAAAACTTCATCATAAAAGACAGATATCACTTCATCATAGGATAGATGATTCACTATCGAGAATGTTCGTTACCTGTGCACAGTGTTATTTATCTAAGATATAAACACGATATTAAGCGAAGGACTGGCAAGTAAATCACACTTCCAAGTTGGAAAAGTCTGAAGCAGTTATATGGACTGTCGGTAAGAAAGATGAAACATGCATTTACGATATTATTTTAGCACTGTTATCCAAGTAGCAGTTAATTGTTAACACTGTAAAGATGTCACATTTTATAGGTAACTGTTACGAAATACACCTTCTCATATTTTGTAACACAGTAGTTTTGAAATGAGGATTTGGACAACCAGAATCCCAAATTGTTCCATGATTTTACCATTTAATTCGAGTTAAAGATCTGTTTTCTGAACAAATGCTTAAGATAATACCAGGCTACGAAATTCAACGATAAGTAAATCTGACTAATTCTTGAGATTTCGAATGAATTCTTATGCCCTTGAGAGTATTAAGTAGTTCCTCTCCAAGCTAAATTTTTACGGGAGCAGCGGTAGTTTGAGAGAACAATGTATTCCAGACAACGCGATGTACTCAAGGATACAAAGCAACAATCTTTATTTCAGGTCAGGTTATGCTTTTGCGTAGCACTGAATGGAATGTAAAATGTAGGAAGGGCTCATCTAAATATAACAGTTACGATGAGGATGGAAGACGAACATAGACAACAGTGGATGTGGTAATAGGGGAGAGGGTTCGTTGCGCTCTGGTAATGGATCTTTTGAAGGAGCGGAATTGCAAATTGGCTGTTTAAATTTGCTATGTGGTTGGTGGTCTTTATGTGGTCTGGGTGCTTGCTCATTTTGTCGTATGGTGAGGAGACCTAAGCGGAAATTTAATTCACGTGTCATTATTTTGTTTCTATGAAGTGAAGTTCATTCTTTTCTGGAAAATATGGAAAGAAGCGGATTGTTCATTGAATTTAAAAAACTCGGGTTCCGGGTGTCTTTCAGTTAATTCACGTTAACTCAACAAAATTCCTCTATATTCAGTTCAGTTAATGAGAGATGTGATTATATGTTAGGTATAAACGTTATGATATGAACAAATCGCTGTATCTACACTACGCCGAAAACGCCGAATTATCAGAGTTATTGCTAGTGGTAACGTTATATATATTTATTATTTGCACTGACTAATGCATAGTCTTTGTGAACAGATAAATATTGCAACAGATAGCATAAGTTTAAATGAGAAATTTAGCACATAGTCATCTTTTCCCAAATAAATTGAAGCTACGTTTTTCTTCTGATGAGCTCAGTCATCCATATCTTACCACCATTTGCTGTAAGCGTATTATATGACATATGGCTTTGCGTTTCCTGAGCACTTTCAATACGTCAGTTGTCAGATTATTTTTATTTCAACCACTACTTAAGCTGTCGGTAGTATCCATCAAGCACGTAAAAAATCTGGATCATCGCTCATGATTTTGGAGTAGTGTAATTGATTATTTAAATGTGTTTCAGTATCTTGTAAGTTTTGGTTTTCAGGGGGATTGCCTATATCTTTTTTTGACATGTGTCGCTGAGAAATGATATTTAAGTTTCCATTAATGGGAAAACCAATTTCGTTTTAAATTCAAGAAAACTGCTAAGTTGAACTATAGGAACATGGGTGCAGCGTATATGTTAAAAAGGACTGGAGTTCTGATGCTGGAAAAGGCTAAGTTTCTGAAATGAAATTTCGACTCACTGAGTTACGAGGATTTCACAGATATGTCTTCAAATTTTGAAACAAAAAAAAAAATTGATTTTCGTTAGTCAATTGTTGCTACGATATGTTTCAGAAATTATTTCAACGTTTAATGGGGAGGTACCAAACTGTTTCACTGTAATAACGAAGCTGCCGCATACAACTTTGAGTTGCTATTAACAATTTTGTAAATAGGCTATTCGTAGTAAAGGAAATTATGTGATGAAAAGGTAATTCTGGCTGGTCAGCTAATTATGAAACCCTAATTTTGAATTGCTGTTCCATTTCTCGTGTTCTGATATTAGGATAGGTTAGTTAAAAGTTAACTTTTTATACTTTCTTGAAAGGTGACGTCGTGTCGTAGACTTTCCCTTTGTTCCAGAATCATAGCCATTGTATCAAATCTTCTACTGTTGATCTGACGTCAATCGGTTTTTTGTTTAGCTGAACGTAAAACACATGAGAGAATTATTAAATTAGTGAAAAAAAAAAACTCCCACAATATCAGTATTTTGAATGAAAGGCAGTATAATGGGAAGTTGATCTGAATACAGCTTTTGTGAAATCTGAAACTAATGAATCGATTCAGCGCAGGTTCTTGTATAACATGATGATTTGAAACTTTGGCGGTGTAAGAAGTATGATAATTTATTTGCACTGTGAATAACATCGTCGTGTTTGGTGTAACAATTAACTTCACTGCTGCGAAAGAAAAAAAATGAGTTGTAAATATCTGCTGTTGATGATGTTCTTGAGGTAAAATAATACGTAATGAATTACATATAGTAAAATGAATCTGAATAATAGTGGCATCCTCAGTTGTCTACTTTCTCGTCATAAGTCGGTTTAAAAAAAGCTGCTAATGGAACATTGAACTCAGAGAATTTGCAATATTGCAGTAATTGTTGCAGTTAGTAATGGATTTGACAATATAGTTCTGTCCGAAAACAATCGCATGGAAACTCTGATTTGTTCATCAATTTTCAGACTAACATACTAGTTACCGTTAAATACTATTAGCTTTCTGGAACATGCTGGGAATCACAAATCAATTATATATTTTAGTAAGCCTTTCATCGTTTATTTTTTTACAAAAATCCAGAAATTGGTCTTACTAGTGGCACCTTTAGGGAAATAATTTATTTCTTATCCAGAAATGCGCAGAAAAATTGAGCAGGTTTTTCGTTCTACCTGCTTTCTGAGAACTATATGTATAGTTATTTTTTCAGATTTACATTGCAAATAGTCTCATTATCGTACTATTGAGTTGGGATGAGGAAGGTAGGTGTCGTGAAACCTCAAACTTGGGTAATTAAACCTTTATTTAACATGAAGCAAATAATAGCGCTTTATACATATCGTACGGATGCTACACCGTTTAACAAACGCGTAAACTATAAAAAATGCAATAATATAAAAATGGTGAAATAACACAAAATTATAAAGTATTAGACGCATCCCAAAACATAAAGCAAATGATGGTTATGGAAGGATTGGTTGGGTTATATATAAGACTGATTTAACGAATGGAGATTAGATGGGAGGATTTCTCATGGATGAACAAAGAAGATTGTTAACAAGATTAGTTTATATACAGAACTGAACTGACCAAATATTCGGCAGAGGAGGACATTTAAATGATATGAAACAAAGACTGCTAATAAAGGGTTTTGCTAACAAAGGGTTTTTGTTGTGTGAGGAAAAGGAATTAGATAAGAGGAATTTGTTAGTTTTGGATATAATAATTTAAATATTTCGTCTTTCACGACAGTAGGCGTTAAATTGTTTTTTGTACTCTTTATTCGGGCAGTGGACCGCGAAGTTTGTTCCATAACCTTCATTTATTACCATTGTCTAGATTAATAGAGAGACTCTTGGTTTTTTAAGGGACTTTCTCATCTTGCGGCCGTTAGGAAGAAAATCCAGCAATACTTGTTTTTCTGAAAAAATCCTAGTGATATGTAGAATGCCCTTGATAATGCATTAATAATTTGAATTATAGTTGTGAAAATAGAGAAAATATTGAAAGGTACTGCATTTTAAACTGTTGTATTTTTCCATAATACGATAGCTTGACTGGTAGGTCAATTGCTGACATGTTGACGGCATGAAGACAGTCTTTTAGTCACGTTGTAGAAAAAACTATGCTTTACAGTAATTCAAATGTGGGATTACAATTATCCCAACAGAAATCAGTTCTTATCAGATGAAGTATTTGGAATTGCAGTCCGCGTTACGATCTGCTGAAGATTGCGGTGTGATATATTAGTGACACATTTGATCAGTCGTCGAGAAACCTCATCAGTTTTCTTGATAATTGTTTTTCATACTAAAATGAATGCGAAGAGTCAGACGAAGTTGCTGAATGTATGTCGGATTGTTTTGAAGAGTTCCTCGACGTAACCAGAAATCAAATTTTTATCCATTCTCATAACATATACTCAGCTGCTGAAGGTATCAGTAAAACTTGAAATACTTTGCTTTTCACTGACGAATTTTTAAGATGAAGTCAGTGTAAGTATTTTGAGATATATTGGACTGCTTAGAAACTCGAAGTGGTGTTAAGTGATATCGGTACTGAACATGG